TGTGGAGCCTGCTTTTACTTATCTGAATGTAAACCTCTATGCATATTTGTGTGCATGTCGAGGTTTGTAAAACACGTTTTAAATAATTGTGGGAAGTCATAAAACCTGGCTAGTGTCAGAGATAATCATCATTCATAAATTGTACTACTTGCTGGTTGCTTTAGATATAACTTACAATAAACTTACAGCATTCCAAAAATATATTTTCTAGGTTAAAATTAAGCCTCTTTATTATTAAATGCCCTAAAACCACAGAGAATCTGTTAATGTTTAAACTGATTGCTTTACAATCACTATATCCCTACTGCAGCTGTTGATGAGTTCAAATCAACAAAATGTGCTTCTGAAAGTTTCTAAATTAAATGCAACACCAAGTATTGTATATATTTGTTAACAAATTTAAGTTACAAAAACAAAGAAGAAATTGTGGGCTAATTACTGACATTTTTTGGAATGACTGAATTTTTGTTTTAATCCATTTCTCTTCTCTACAGTTTGGGAGTTATATAATCTATTTCTATTCTCATGGTTCTTAATCTTAATTTTTTTAATGTGCTTATGAAACTTAAAGTCTAAACACTGTGGCTATCTCTACCTTTTTCCAAAACAATGAAAGGGACTTGGAATAATGGTCTTCAAATATTTTTGTTCGCATACCACTTAAAATACTTTTGAGAAACTGCTACGGATGGATGGATGCTAACTAGATTTATTGTGGTGAATATTCTGTACTTTATACATATATTAAATTGTTATGTTGTACACCTGAAACTAATACGTTACATGTCAATTGTATCTCAATAAAACACATATCAGTGTAAAAAAACCCACTGTGTAACTCGTGCATATTTTATCATAAGTTTAAATATTTGCAATAAATGTAATTAACAGAATATTGCAAATTTAGAAATTTTTAAATATAAATTTTATCGCTTAGATTTTAAATGTGATTTGATACTCATCATTATTCATTTAAGAAGGTTAACAAACTCTTCAAAAATAGGAAATTTTAAATTATTCTTTTTTTGTCCTTAACTTGTGTTTCTATTCTACTTTTCCCATATGGTTTTTAAAGAATTAATAGACTTTATTTTCAGAATAGTTTTACAATTACAGAAAAGTTGAATAGGAAAGTGCAGAAAGTTCCCATATATCCCCTTCATAACTGCCCCCTTCCTAGTTTCCCCTATTATTAACATCTTCCTTTAGTGTGGTACATTAGTCACAACTGATAAGACAATATTGATACATCATTATTAATTAAAGTTTATGATTTATTTTGGGATGTACTCTTTGTGTTGTATATTCTATGGGTTTTGACAAATGTAAAATGACATGTATCCACATTACAGTATCATATAGAATAGTTTCACTTCCCTAAAAATACCTTGTGCTCCACCTATACATCCCTCCCTCCCTCCAGCCACCTCCAAACTTTTTACTGTCTCCATAGTTTTGCCTTTTCCAGAATGTCATATAGTTGGAATCATACCAGTTTGTAGCCTTTCAGATTGGTTTCTTTCCCTTAGAAATATGTCTGTGATATTCCTCCATGTCTACGCATGACATGACAATTCATCTCTTTTTATCACCATATAATATTCCATTATGCGGATGTCCTATAGTTAGTTTATCTATCACTTACTGAAGGACATCTTGGTTGCTCTGAATATTTGGCAGTTACGAATAAGGCCGCTTTGAACACTGGTTTGCAGGTTTGTATGTAGAAAGAAGTTTTCTCCTCATTTGGGTAAATATCAAAGAGCACAATTGCTGGTTCCTATCATAAGAATATGTTTAGTTTTTGTCATACTATCTTCCAAAGTATCAGTACCATTTTGCACTCCCACCAGCAACGAATGAGAATTCCTGTTGCTCCATATTCTTTCCAGCAAGTTGGTATCAGCTGTTGGGAGGTCTCAGTTCCTTGACACATGTACCTCTTCATAGGGCTGCTTGAGTGCCTTCATGACTTGAAGAATGAGTGATCTAAAAGAGCAAGGTAGAAGCCAAAATGTCTTTTATGATCAAGCCTTAGAAGTCACACATTATCATTTCCACAACATCTCATTGATTACACAGGTCAGCCTATTCATTGTGAGAGGAGACCACACAAAGGTGAGACTACCAGGAAGTGAGGAACATTGAAGGCCCTATTGGAGGTTGACTAACACAACAATTAAAACACTTATCTTCAGTATGAGGTAGGTTTGTATCTATCTCTGTCCCACTAGACCAGTGTTTCTCACCTTTTCCTCCATTATCACTCCACTACTCCACTATGGAGTCTTTTTAGACATATTTTTCCTAATCGCATGCCCCTTTCATGAAACTTTAATGTTTATTTATGTACTGTGTGTATATCTGTCCTTTATATATACAAAGAAGTATTTTTTACACCACTCCCCCAAGAATCAATGTTCACTTCCTTGAAGGAGGTGATATCATCCCCTCTGAGGTTGAGAATGCATGCACTAGACTGAAAGCTAAAAATCCAAGAGTTGATACAGTACCATGCCTTTTCGTCTTTTTATTCCTCATAGCACTTCATTTACTGTTTTAAACAGAGTATAGCGGTAAATGTTTGTTTAATTGTGGCAAATAACTGGCCAAGGACAGGGAGGAGAATGAGTATGCTATCCAGTGAGAGTGGAAAACAGATGCCATTGACCAAAATGGAAACAGAGTCCCTGTGAGAAAGAAGTGACAGGAAAAGAGAGCATTTAATGAACATTTTCTGAAACACTAAATTTATCCATCTTGTTCATCACTGAACATTAAATAGGACTGTTTTTGGTATATTCTTAGGAAACACAGTAATTTTTTTTTTGAATGAATAAATTCATCCTCCAGGATCACTTGCTCACTGAAAGTCAGCATATGTGATCTTTAGGGCTGTCTGATCACCTGTAAATTAAGGCATTTGTTTTCAATAATTCAATTCAGATGTTGGCTGAAATGAAGAAATATCCTATAAGTTCAGAATTATGTTTTATTTGAGGACATGACTGAGGACCATAGCATGGAAATAGCTTCTCAGACATCTGTGAGAAACTGTTCCAAAGAGGTAAGGGGAAATTCAGAATATATAGGAGTTTTTGCTGGGGAAAAAACATGTAGTCAAATATCAAAGGACTACGGCTAATCACAAAAACCAGACATCTCAAGTTAATGGTTTTAGTGCTTTTCTAAGTATGGGAAGATCCAAGAGTCTGCGCTCACTGAAATTACTCCTTTGATATGCATCTTAACTATCGTGGCCCAGTATCCTGTTTTTCTCCATTCCCCTCAGAGCACACAGTGGCAGAAGCTGATGGGTCATGGTGGGCAGCATTCATTGTTTACTGAAATCACAGACAACATTTCTAACTCTATACTAAATGCTCCAATTTACCAAAGAGTTCTGGAGATCCAAGTGTCATGAAGCTGTTCTTGTTTCCTTCCTACATCATCCAAATAAGGGATGAGGTACTTGTTACGGGTACAAAACATGTGTTGGGTTTTGTGTTTGCGTCAGAGACACAAAGGCCAAGGAGAACAAAGCACTTTTACCTCGTTGTATTTTGATTTTCTGGTTTGTCTCCCCTTTCTAGATTATAAACTCCCTACAGGCAGGAAATGTGTAGGCCCAGCCGAGATCTAGAAAATAAACATTTATTGAATGTATGCATAAATTAGCCAAGATCCCTGCCCCAAGGGGCTGATAATCTTGTAGGAAAGGTATGACACATATATTAAAACATTTTTTTAACCTTGGTTCTGCTGGACCTACCAGAGGGGGAAGAAATGCACAATACAGGCATAACTTGTTTAATTGCCCTTCACTTTATCACACCTCGGAGACATGGCATTATGTTTTGTTTTGTTTGTATGAAACGAAGTTTTCTGGCAACAATGTGTTGTCAGATGATGGTTAACATTTTTTAAGAAATGAAATATTTTAAAATAAATGTATGTACTTTTTTAAGACATAAAGCTATTGTACACTCAAGAGACTATAGTATAACGTAAACATAACTTCTATATGCCCTGGGAAACCAAAAAATTTGACTGACTCACTTTATTGCAATATTCACTTTATTGCAATGGTCCGGAACTATCTCCAGGGGATACCTGTACCTGAAGACTGTTCACAAGCATGGCCAAAGCCTGTTAGGGAAAACAAAGGGTGGATCAGTTTTGCTGAAGAGAGGATCCCACTTCAGTGAACTGTATTTAAAACGTTTAAAAGGTTACGTCTATGTTGAGTGAAGGAAGCCAACCCCCTCCTCCAAAAAAAAAGGGTACCTTAAGTATGACTCCATTACCCAAAACTCTCAAATGTACAAACTGATCTACAGTGACTAAGGCAGATCAGTAGTTGCTAAGGGATGCGGGGCAGGATGTGGACAGGATGGAGGAATTATAAACGGCAGGAGGAAACTTGGGGGTAATAAATATGTCCACTGTCTTGAATGTAATGTTTCATGGATGTATACATATGTCAATACTTGTCAAGTTGTACATTTAAATTTGCGTAGCTATGCAGGTCAATCATTCCTCAATAAAGCTGTTTTCAAAAAAGAGACAAGATAGAGTCAGATCACAGAGGGTCAGACGAAGGAACTCTGGAAAATCTTCAGGATTGTGAAAAGCAACATTTAGTCAGCTATCCCTAATAGTCAAACCTGGGCTGGTGTGACACCAAAGGAAAAGACAGGGAAAACCAATCCAGTGTTTGGTTAAGGCGTGTGGTGTGTACTTGCCTGAGGGCGGTTATCTCCGGAGGGAAAAGATAGTGCCCATAGATAAAGCCTGAAGAATTTCTGCTGGCAGTGACAGGGGAAGCTAGAGGAAGAACATGATTTGGGGTAAGATGATTTTGCATTTTGGACAAGGAGAGAGTCATATTTAAGGCCTCCACCCTCTCTGAGACACAGCGAAGCGGCTGGGGAGGCCCAGTTAGCGGAGATGACACGCCGCAACACCATGCTAGAGCCCAGCGGCCTGGAACCTCAGCTTTCAACTATCGCTTCCTTAAGTTCCACTCAAGGAGCCGAGACAGGTGTTTGCAAGTCCCGCGTAGTAATCCCACGGGGATCTGGCGAGAACAGCCTCCCCAACTCAAGAAACCTGGGGCGGTGGGGGCGGGGGCGCTCGTGGCCGGCGCGTGCGCGCGGCGCGCAGGGAGGCGGCCTGGAAGCGAGGGAGCGCGCGCCCTCCACGTGACCCGGCCCGCGGGCGGCGACGCACACGACGCGCCCCTCACGTGGTCTGTCTCCAGCCCCGTCGCCGGCGGAGGCGGGCGCGGGCGCGTCCCTGTGGCCAGTCACCCGGAGGAGTTGGTCGCACAATTATGAAAGACTCGGCTTCTGCTGCTAGCGCCGCTGCTGAGTTAGTGCTGAGAAGGTTTCCCTGGGCTGTCCTTGTCCGGCGGCCTCTGCTGCCGCCTCCGGAGACGCTTCCCGATAGATGGCTGCAGGCCGCGGAGGAGGAGGAGGTGGAGTTGCTGCCCTTCCGGAGTCCGCCCCGTGAGGAGAATGGTACTGGACCCACGCAGGCCCCGGCGGGGGCATGGACCTGGGGGTTGCGGGCAGGGAAGGGGGAGGGCTCGGCAGGCAAGCGTGTGCGCGGCGCCGCGCTTCTTGGGGCGAAGGATCCCCGAATTGCCTTGAGGCTTCCGGACTTGCCCTGGCGGGACGGGAGTGCAGTTCATTCGCGGTGAGGGGCAGGAAGCAGGTAGCGAATCTGGCGCGACGGCTCGTCGCGGGAATCCCCTGAGCGGACCCCGGGCGCCGGCTCCTCAGGGCGGCAGAGACGCGAGCCAGGGAGGACCTGGCTGAGCCGAGCGGCCGCAGCGCGCCAGACGCAGCGCTCAGCCTCCAAGCTCTGCATCTCCCGGGAGCGCGTTCCTCCTGGCGCTTGTTGCTGGCAGATAAGGGAGCCAAAAGCTCTGCTCAAGTTATGCATGGAAGGGGAGGAAAAGTGCTGGGAGGGAACAAAAAAGGGATAGAGGACACGGAGTTGGAGCTGTGCCTTGTTTGCTGCGCAGCGTATACTCCACAGGTACCTTTTCCCTTTAGAGCCTAAGGGGAGGGATTTGATGATACTGACGCTAGATCAGGTGTGGAATTTTCTTTAGCAAGAATTAAGGATTTTATCAGGGTACTGCTGTAGGTACCGAGGCATGGATTTATGTCGACCAACCTCATCCGTTGCCCTAAGAAGGGTTGATCGTGTTTTAAATTGAAGGTACAGAGAGAGAGAGAGAGAGGGATGCGGCGCATTGCAGCTTTTGGTAAAGCTTTTTGTTAAGGTCAGAAATAAAATTAAAAGATTTCTTGCAAAGAAAGCCATTTAGATCAGAGATTCGAAGAGCGGGCTAGATATTCCTGGTCAGTACTTGAGCTAGGTAGGCGTCTTGCAAAGAACTCTCCCTCTGCCGGAGTCTGGCCGGTTTACTTTTCTCTAGAAACTAATTCAAGTCCCATACAAAATTGAAACCACGAATATTGTTATACTTTGAATAAATAGTACACCTTCCACTATTTCCCACTTTTTTTTTGGTAATGTAAGGTCAGTAAAACAGTCATTTTGCCTTTTTTAGTAATTTTTAAAACAAGAATTTTTAAGTTTCTCTACCGACATTAAATTTTAACATTTATTATTTAATGAATTTTAAGGGAGTCTCTTTTGGGGGGAAAAGTTGAATGAAAGTGCCTTTTATTTAAAAAAGCAAGCCATTAATCCTGACTTTAAAGTGATGTGTCTAGTTTTCCTTTTTTTAAGGTGGTAAATAGCATACATTTGAACATATCATTTAAGTATTTTGAAAAAAATTTATATACGTTAGAAAATGGAAATGAAGATGATTCATCATCCTAAGCCTTTGCTTCCTACTACTTCGTTAAAGCAACCAGACGACTTTGTTTCTAGTTACTTTCTAGTGAAAGTAATTCTTAGTCTTACCTCAGGTGTTCTTAAATCCAGCCTCTTAATGCCTTGGTATCTATATACTTTGAAACCTAGCCTTCAAAAATCAAGATGTAGTCTGAATTTCTCCTGTGTCTATTGCTTTTCCATTTATGTCCAGTCTTTTACAGCAAATGTGCTCCCCAGACCATGTTTGTATACAACATTGTCTACAAGGAGAAATTATCACTTTAAAATTTGAAATTAAAAATCAAATTTTAGTTTTTAACGTAGCTTGAGTTTTGACTCCTATTGAGTTGTATGGCTTTCCTTACAATTTCCAATTAAATTATGGTGAACCTTTAGGGTAACGTAAGACTTAGGTTCTCTAATAATGATGATTTGTTGAGCCTCCTCAACTTTTGGGTCAAAAGTGACCTAAAAGTTCATCTAAGTATGTTGTAGCTACAGTATATAATTTTTATTATAAATTCTTGTTTAAGACCTTTTTGGTAATCAGTTTCTTCTTTGAAACTAAGAGAAAGCATACAGAAATGTTCTGCATTTTGAAAAGCTTCAAAACTAGTCAACCAACTGCCTAAAAAAAAATCCAAAACAAATAAAATTCCAAGAAAGACAAGTTAAATTGGAGTGGAATTAAAGTTTTTTTTTTTTTTACAAAATTATATACCATAGTTACTGGAAATATTTGTTTTATTCATTTGGCAAACACTTACTGTTTAATATATTCCAAGCACTGTGATAGGCACTGGAGTGCCAAAGATGTATTACACAAGTTTCCCACTTTGAAACAGCTTACACTTTAGATTTATATAAACTGTTATCAGTGGAAGATACATACATTACTTTATAAAACGAACATTTAGTGTCTACTGTGTTGCAGGCTCTGTGATACTCTGTCTTCAAGGGCAGTGTACATATGCACAAAAAACAAGAGTCGTGTGATATTATTGCATAGTTTACTGTGAAAGTATAGGGTAGTCAGGAAGAGAAAAGGGAAGGTTTGGGTAGGTTTACAAAGGCTTGTAAAGGTGAATCTTGTGAGGCAATAGGAATTAGTTAATCTGGAACTAGAAGGGATGTAGAATTGGTTTTCGTCTAAGGGAACTGAGCTTCAGAAGAGGAGAGCGTCATAGTTTATCCTGGGATCTACTATACAAGTACTGTACCTAGTTTAGAGTGAGTGGAGTATGGGATGATATAAGTACTAGTGAGAGTGTTGTGAAGATAGGTAAGGACCAGTTTCTTGAGGGCAATGTATGTCATGCAAAGAAGTTTGTATTTTATTCTGGAGGTATTGGGGATCTACTTAAGGAAACAATATGGTGGGTGAATTGGTGTCAGTTTAAACTGAAAAGAGCGAGACCAGTAAGGAGGAGGCTGTAGCAGGACTCTGACTAAAGTGTTGAGGGCTTGAAATAAAGAGGTATTAGAGGAAAAGAAGGAACTGATTGAAATGTTTAGGAGTTAGAATATTCAGAACTTGATGCCTTTGGTGGAGTTGTGTGTGTGTGAGTGTGCGTGTGGGCAAATGTCAATAATAAGAACCAGACGCAAAGTGAAAACATGTAATAGTTGAAATAATTATGTAATATGTGCAGATGTAGTACTTAAAGGCAATACTTAAAATGTGCATTTTTAATTTTGATTTTGGTCTGTTGAACCAAGCACTTTTAAGTCTATCGAAGCGAGCACTTCTAAGTCTGTTGAAGCGAGCACATCTAAAATTTGAGAGTTCTGCCAATCGTAGAAATTTTTGATGTACTGTTCTGATATTCTTCTTTCTTTAACGTTGTAACATGGGGGATTTCAAACATACAAAGATAGAACAGTAAAGTGAATCACCGTATACCCAGGACCCATATCAACAGTTTGAAACATGTGAATATTGTTTCTTCTATTATCCTCAATCTCCCTCAACTGAATAATCTAAAAGCAAATCCCAGACATAGTCCATCTATAAATACCTCATTATTTGTACCTCTAAAAATGTGAAGACTTTTAACATAGCCACAGTACTATTAGCATACCTAAAATTAATAATTCTTTAGTATCATTAAATATTCAGCTTATTTCCCTGATTGTCTCTCTTTTTTTTTTTTAAGTTGGTTTGTTTGAATCACGATCCAAAGATTCTACACAGCATTTGTTTGATAAATAAACCTTTCAGTCCCTAGTACCTCTCCTTTTTTTTGTCTTGTGATTTACCACATTTAATGGAAAAAAAGAAAATCTAGATCATTTGCCTTGTAGAATTTCCCACAATTTTGATTTTTTGATTGCATCTGTACAGCATCATGTAACACGTTCCTTTCTCCTCTGTATTTCCTGTGAACTAGTGGTTAAAGACTGTCAGATTCTAGTTTGATGTTTTGGCAAGACTCCTTCACAGGTAGTGTTATATACTTTATATTGCATCACCTTAAGAGGAACAAGCTGTCTGGTTGTTTTTCTTTTTTGATGTTAAGATTGACCAGTGGATTGGCGTTGTCAGCTGCCTGTTCTTCAGTTGTGAAGTCCCCATGAGACTTCACATAGTAGCCATTGATGATTATAGCTGTTGCTCAGTTATTTCATTCTGGGTTTCTATTTTCCTTTTATTTTGAGGGGAGCCTTTCAGCATATGATTACATTTTACAGTCTTTTTTTTTTCTTCTTTTTTTTAAGTGACTGCTCTTTCAATGCTTGTTTTAAGTTTGGTGTCTGGAGGCAAAGTTCAGAGTGGTTGAGATTAGTTTAAAACATGAGCAACGTTTGGCTATCTGCGGAAATTTGAACTGAGTTATTTGTGTGAATTGATATAAAAGAACTTAGATATGTGTCACTTCTAGAAGGGGCTTTGCAGTGATTAGATTAGTTTGAATGTATATGAAATTTGTAACTTGGAGAATGGACCTCTTCTAGTTTATCTTTATAAAAATGATTGATTCTAATTTGAGTTAAATTACTACTTTTAGATATTTTGTTGACCCTTCAGTTTGGTTCACCTTGGATTTAGAAAATTATTCTGGATCTTTTTGGGGAATGTGTGTTTAGTTTCCTGACCAATTAAAGGTTTTAGAACTCTGTTGAAGAAATTTTGGTGTATGGAGGTAAGCAGTTCTTTGAAATTGATGAATTTGACTCTTCACCTAAGCATCTTTGCCAAGTCACCTTCTTTTATGAGCATCACTTTTACTGTCTCTGTAAAAGTCAGATGATAATCTTTCCCCTACTTGACCTCAGGAGTATTAAAGTCTGTGAAACACTGTTTGTCTCTCCTTGCATCATGAAAACATGTTGATAACACCGCAGCTGTCCAGCTGCTAGACTTCTGGAAACATCAACCTTTGGAAACCCAACTCCCTATAGAAAGGAAAAAAGCTTTTGAGCCAAGCCATTATCAGGAATATAGCAACCTTGAGCCCAGAGTTCACTGATTGAAAAATATGTGCAAAGTGAAATTTAATAGGCTTAGTTTCCTACTTTCCTCTGACAGTCTGGTAGTACATTTGAAGTGATGGAAGGAAAGTTATCTGGAAAGCAGACTATTGCTATAAAGAGGAGACTGAAGAAACATTAACTGGAAAATAAAGCTAGAGCTGTAAATTACTCTTCAGTATGTGAATCA